GTCCTGCTCTCTCTGTGTGAAATGAAAAGCTGAGGTCCAGGGACCAATCACTGATAGATTTTGTTTGTTTGTTTGTTTTGGTTTTTTGAGACAGGGTCTCACTATGTAGTTGAGACTGACCTAGAACTCACTATGTAGCCCAGGCTGGTCTCGAACTCTCAGCGATCCTCCTGCCTCAGCCTCCTGAGTGCTGGGATTATAGGAGTGCACCACCATGCTGGCCTGTTACTGATAGATTTTGGAAGAAGATATCTGATTGGTCGCTGATCATGAGGGACATCTGTTATTCATGTGTGATTCACAGTCTGAACACCTACTAGGGCAGTGTGCATTTTATGTGATTACTCAGTTACTACACTACAGGAACTAAAGAAGGGACCCTGTTCTTAAAGGAATGGTGTTATTTAACTGAACTATGACAAGTAAAATTTAATCATATTGGAGCCTTTAAAAGAAAGAATTGTTTGTATATTTTATCCTTGAAAATTTTGTACTCATAACCTCAATCTCTGTAACAAAAATGAACATAAATTAAATTTCAAATGTCTTCTGTCCTTAAGTATTTTTAAACTTCTGATTTAACATTACAATTGCTATTATGGTCAAGGAAGTAACTGGTTAAATTAAAAGTAAAAATTTATCAAAAATTATTTCAATTTGCCTGGCATGGTCCAAACACCTCCAATCCCACTACTTGGGAGGCTGAGGTAGGAAGATAGCAAGTTTGAGCCCTAGGCTGGCAACATGGTGAGAACTTGTCTCAAAATTTTACAAAGGGTTGGGATGTAGATCAGTGGTAAAGCACTTGCCCAACATGCAGCAAGGCCCTGGGTTCAATCCCTGGCACTACAACAAACAAACAAACAAACAATTGGATGAATGGGAGAGTTTTCACTTGGAGCGCATAATCTCAATCTCTCACCCCGCCTTCTTTCTCTCTGTCTCTCTTATGAAGAATCAAGCACATGCCTCTCTCATATAGTGGCCAAATGCTCTTCCACTGAGTCCCAGAGAATATAACCTTCAGTACTGCTTTCTGCTGGAATTAGTGTTCAGGATCAAAGATATTCTTGTTAATCATTCTATAGAAACAATTCTGAGAAAGTACGTTCATATAGATAGCAAAGGGAGAAACTGTATCATAGCAATGCTACTCCTTTCGTTAATTTTTCTACGTTATTTCTCAAAAATCCTCTTTCATTTTTGTTGAAGACAAGGATTTGGACAATTACTTGTCATTAGAAGGTTCACTTTTTTTATTTTATGGGAAACATACCCAAAAAGGCCTGATCAAGAAATGTCAGCCAAATATACCTGTGCTGGTTGTGTACTCTACAACTTTGAGGGCAGTGTTCACTTTGCACTTTACTTGAATGACATGAACTGGGATTAAACAGTGCATGACTCACACAGCCGTATATGACCTTATAAATTGTACCTACTATATTTTTTAATCAGTAGCAACCTGTTTGATCCAGGTTACAAAATATTCTATTTATACCTGCCATCAGCACCCATTGATAACATCATCACGACAGCCCATCAGAGATTTCATGGCCTGGCCGTACTTAGTGGAAAGATGTATCAATACAATAAGGTAAATGTAGTACATAAAAAGTCATTATTTTTAGAAACCAGGAGTCCTTTGAAATGTAAAGGGTGCTGTCAACAAGGCGCCAGCTCGATGCCAATATCTGCCAAGAGTCATTTACATCTCATTCTGTGTGGCTTTTTCTTTCTTTAAGGCTTGGAATCACATAACACATCTGTTTTCTTGAACAGTGCTCTTAATTTATTTAACTTATGAATGCAAATCATAGTCACCTCTACACTTCAGTGACCAACGTGGGGACTCTTTCACTCTCGGTCAGACACAACTTTGTGCTTGAGGCACAACGCTGACAACAGTGCCACCATCAGTTGTGAGGAATAAACTACCTATAATTACAGTTATCTACAGAGTGCATACCTTTTTAGAATTTAATGATGAATAAACTTTAGTTTGAGGAGAACTTTTGTGGAACGCCTGGTTAGACGGATGTGGGTGGCTGCCAGCGAGATGTGTATGAAAGGAAGAGGCATCTGAACATTTCAAGCTCTCCCTTAATGGAAGTTGAATACTTCATTTGCCTCCTCAATGAAAAAGTCCAACCTGGTTTGGGGTCACATGAGCATATGTACTCACTGTGCAATTTGTTTTGTTTTTGCGGCTCTTTTCCTCCAGAGTGCTCCTTAGGTTGCTGCCACAGTAGATATGTACAGTTCATAATTTAAAGAAATGCTAATGAGGTATTAATTCCCAAAGTGAGGTTGCAATGAAGAATTAAGTATAATTTTTTAAAGCTGGGCATGGTGGTGCACGCCTGTAATCCTAGCACTCGGGAGGCTGAGGCAGGAGGATCGCTGTGAGTTCGAGACCAGCCTGGGCTACACAGTGAGTTTCAGAGCAGTCTGAACTACATAGTGAGACCCTGTCTCAAACCCCCACAAAAAATAATAATAATTTTTGGGGGGGTACCAGGGATTGAACTCGGGACCTTGTACTTGCGAGGCAGGCGGTGGAACCACTGAGCTAAATCCCCGGCCCAAGTATAAGTATTTTTTCACTGTAATAATTAACATTTATATACCATGTCATGCATGAGTAATTTTATCCTTCCAATAACCTTCTGTTAGGTTGAAAAAGTAGATAGCATCTGTTGAGAAAACTCAGGATCAGAGATGTTTAGTGAATTGCTCAAGGCTACATGTTAGAGAAGTGACTGAGATGAATCCTAGGCTTGACTCTAAATGTCATGTTTTCCTTCTGTAGTTCTAAACTGTAGTTTTAAACTTATTTTTCTTCCAGGTTGGGTCCAACACACACTCTCTAACCATACAGAAGAATAAATTGCCACTGGCTGAGCGTGGTGGCACAGGCCTGTAATCCCAGGACTCAGGAGGCTGAGACAGGAGGATCATCAAGAGTTCAAGATCAGCCTGGGCTACACAGTGAGACCTTGTTTCAGAAAAAAAAAAAGGAAAGAATAAACTGCAACAGGGCCAGGGATTTAGCTCAGTGGCTACAGCACCTGCCTCACAAACACAAGGACCAGAGTTCGATCTTAGGTCTCCACCTCAGAGAAGTCAGGAAGAGGGTATCGTAGGGTTTGCATATCCCATGTAATTCATATTAAAATGGTCTGATAAAGTCGAATTAAATTAAAACTGCTCAAAGGAAGACAATGATATTAATTCAGAACTTGCTATATAGCAAGAGTCAATCATCACTGGCCTTTGGCAGAGGCTCAAAAGGCAGGCAGGGAAGTGAGAAGCTTTTTAAGAGGGAAGGGAGAGCCCCAGGTACCCTCTGACTGGAAGCTGTTCGTATGGGAAAATTGGGGGCGGCTACTAGATGCAGGGGTATTTTAGGTGCTTGTTTTGCTGGACATATTTGGCTTTCTCTGTCGGTCCTGAGGCGGAAGCAGGGGTAAAAATAAAGAAGCTGGCAGCAGTTGACCTCCTCCTGACTGTCCTGGTCCAACCTCTGCAGGCCATGGTTGGGTTTCCTGGGATCCGAAGGTGGTCGGAGTTCCGATAATCTGCATTGTATGAGGGTTCTCCATCGAGTATTCCGTCTTAGACTAGGAGACACACGGTGGATCTAGTGGTGGCTCCACCCTGACCTTCCTCTTTGCAGGTAATGGACCATCTTTCCACACTTCCAGCCCTATCTAAGGCGCTCAGAAAGCGCTTAATAAAATCTTGCTTATCAATGATAAATGTAAATACTCTAAAGTGGCTTTTGTTGGCACAGGAAAACGAATTTTTTGGTGCGGCACATGGCGTCTTTATGTGAAGGAGCTGGCGGTCACGGTACAGGGTGGCAGTTGCTCCTTACAGCTACTGGTGCTCCAACCAGTAACCTGAACCCCAGCCCTGGCCCTGGCTACCAGGTTTCTCAAGGCTTCCAGGTTGTCCGGGCTGTTCTACCGGCCCAGGCTCCTACAGCTTTGCCACGGTCTTTCCCAGTCCTTCCGCACCTCCCCTGCGCTCTCTCCCTCATTAAGGCTGGGACTGGCAGGAGATAGAGGAAGGGGAAAGTACACAAACACACACACACACACACACAGAGCTACTAAGGAAAAAGGAAAGTACACACACACACACACACAGAGCTACTGAGGAAAAAGGAAAGTACACACACACACACACACACACACACACAGAGCTACTGAGGAAAAAGGAAAGTGTACACACACACACACACACACACACACAGAGCTACTGAGGAAAAAGGAAAGTGTACACACACACACACACACACGCTGGTAGATAGATGGTCTTAATTCCGGACCCACAGAGTTTGTCTAAGGGAAGGCTGAGGAGACTGGCGCCGGGGAAGGAGCGGGCGCGTGGCGCGGAGGTCGCCCCCGGGAAGCCACCCC